GTAGAGAACTCTCTTGGAGTAGCAATATCACATGAGTGACTGAGGGTAGAGGTATCAGCCAGAAGTCAAAACAAACCGTAAATTAGTGCGGTCTAATACTGAAGTTAAATCGGTTTGCGATGATGAAAAACGAGCTGCGAAGATACGACGCTACGTATCAAAAAATATTAGTCTATACATCTCTTCTCATCTACACTTCTGTGTTTAAGAATGTTGAATACTGACCGAAAGCCCATTGACTCCACAGAGAAACAGCAGAAATGAGGTAATTTGAAGCATCGTTAGTCGCGAAGGCTCGAGATACCTTCGACTGATAACAGTTCCTTAATCAGATGGCCATTACATTCGACATGTCATAACAATGCCACAGGAGACTCGCTTTTGACAAAGTCAACGGTAAGCTACCTAGGAGCACGACCGAGGCCAGACAGCTCTAGCATACAGAACTTCTGACGCTGATTCGGCTTGCAATGCAGGGTACTGAACTTATTCATTTTCCGGCCGATACAACTGTTGAAAATGCCATCGTGAAGATGCAGCTTTGACCCATAAAGAATATCGGACGTTTAAAAAGCGAATAAACAAATGAATGAAACTTTTACACCTACCTATCACACAACCGTTCACTACGTTTAGTGCAACAGACAAGAAACTGGCGTTCAAGAAACGCTACTACAACGATGACCTACGCAATACAAAACTCTCCTGAAAACACCAATACAAATACTGTATGAATCATCAAAATGTTCGTGTAGCAGAGTCAGTAATTTTTGTCGTACTAAATCAGGTCGAACATTAAACCGAATTTTTGAGTTTTCGAACAGCCACCAAACTAACATCTTAATTGAATACAATTTTTGGAACTAAAGTGGAATAGTTCAGTTAAAGTGGTTCGGTAACTGCACAGGTTTCTAATGAAACATTCACGACATTTTAACATGATAGTTTCAACCAATGAAGCAAGAATAAAGTCATTACACAATATCTTACCGAAATCTCTTGCAGTTTCGTTTCCTGTATCATTTAAAACTTATTCCAAGTTATGCTGTACTTGTCTATTCGATCGGCAGGTTCATTTTACAGCTGAAGAGTTGAATGTAATGTAGTTCATGAAATACTTCGTACTGATTTTCAGCAAGTTTAAACGACATCACTTCGATTACTGAACTCTTGACTGTTTTTACTTCATAATTTTCGTGATTAATTCTACTTTACTCAACTCATCAGCAGTTGGAATAATGTTAGGAGGAGTGCCATACATGACCTTCAGATCGTATGGGACGTCGAACCAGTGTTCAGTTCATGCTAAGAAGTAGTGAAATTCAATATCAGGAGAGAGCTTTTTGTTAATGTTCCCATACACATGTACAGGCACGTTTAGAAGGTGAGTGTATGTCTATGAAATATTTACGTGTTCTGTGTAGCATAACGTTTGAATGAACTGAAATAGGCTGTAAAATGAGCGGTGGGAAAAGAATGCCTAGTCAAGAAGCGTTCAAGCATGTCTAGATGCCATGAAAACGAGCCAAGTATGGCTCTGAGCATCGGTATTTTCTGTATTAGAATCTACTTGTAGAGCTACTCCTTAAAAACCATGGCGATAATCTTCGAATTAAAAGACTGTCCTCAATTTTCTAATCTGTTGGTCTCGTTCAGAAAAATCCAAAATGCATTAAAAACGACTACTACTCTGGCACCGAAATAGAGTTCGTCTTCCGAAAGGCTGGAGCATAATTACAGCAGGTCTGACCCTTATTAGCGATGGCTCAACATCTTGAGATGCACATTTATTGTTGATCAAATTCAGCATTCGCTCATTTGCGCAGTTATTGAATCTGAACTAAACTAGTTGAACATTTAAATGAACAAACTCTAGTTGAATAATATTAATATTTGCAAATTTTTATTTAAAAGCAGTGTCTTGATGTCCTTGAAAATTTTCTTTGATTAACTCGTACTACTTTGAAAAGAGTCATGGGCATTTTAAAAATAGCTGTCACGATCAGGTTGTCGTTAGACAAATGGCGCAGATCAGAGAATTATCAAAACATCATTTTTACCGTGAAGAACATAAAAACTGC